TATTATTCTATCTACATGCTTTTGATTTCTTTCTTTCTTTCTTTCTCTCTTTCTTTCTTTCTTTCTTTTTATATCTCCGCACTATTATCCTTTCTTTCTTTCTTTCTTTCTTTCTTTCTTTCTTTCTTTATATATTGATATTTATTTTTCTTTCTTTCTTTCTTTCTTTCTTTCTTTCTTTCTTTCTTTCTTTCTTTATATACACGGTTTTCCTTTCTTTCTTTCTTTCTTTCTTTCTTTCTTTCTTTCTTTCTATCCAAAATTTCTTCCTTCCTTTCTTTGTTGATTTTTATTTATTTATTTATTATTCTATCTACATGCTTTTGATTTCTTTCTTTCTTTCTCTCTTTCTTTTTATATCTCCGCACTATTATCCTTTCTTTCTTTCTTTATTTCTTTCTTTTTATATATACAGGGTTTTCCTTTCTTTCTTTCTTTCTTTCTTTCTATCCAAAATTTCTTCCTTCCTTTCTTTTGTTTATTTTTTTCCTTTTATTTATTATTCTATCTACATGCTTTTTCATTTCTTTTTTTCTTTCTTTCTCTTTTTTTTTCTTTCTTTTTTTATATCTCCGTTTGTTATCCTTTTTTTTTTCTTTCTTTCTTTTTTTATTTTTTATATTTTACAAATAGTTTTTTCTTTCTTTTTTTTTATTTCTTTTTTTTTTTTTCTTTCTTTTTATTTCTTTCTTTTTTTTTTTTTTCTTGTTATATCTCCACGGTTTTGCTTTCTTTCTTTTATTTCTTTCTTTTTTTCTTTTCTTTCTTTCTTTCTTTTATTTTGATTATTTAATTTATTTATTTATTTTTTTCTTCTAATTTATCTATTCAAATATTTTCTTTGAATCTTTCTTTCTTTCTTTCTTTTTCTTTCTTTTATACAACACGAATTTATTTTTGGATTTAATTTTTTTCCAACTCTTTTTCTTTAAAATCTGTATTCTTTTACCTCTTTATTTCTTTTCTTTTGTCTACATCTTAGACATTCTTCCTCCTCTTTAAAATATATCCTTCTTCGTTTTTTTTTTTCTTCCGTTCATTTCCGGTTTTTTTTCTTTAGGGTAAAGATTAAATTATTTGCTAATAGATTAGCCCGGCCTTATTTCACTTGTATATTTTTTATTTTACTTTTTCTTTTAATAAAATCTTCATCTTGATAAAAATATCTTTTCCAATATCTATGAATGTGATTGTCACGTACAAGACACCCAGCGGAATTCAGAAGAGCTGTACTTCTCCTCTCTGCTGGATATCTGACAAAAAAAAAGCCTTTTGCATGCTTCCTCTTGCCTTGTTTTTACCCTTTTTTTATAAGCAATCAGTCTATGGGAGAAAGTCACACGCACGTATTCACATACGAAACTTCCCAAATGTTTACAGGCACGTTATCAAACAACCAACTTCACAAGCACTAAACATGGAGGCTTTTATGAAACAGTAATATTTGCCTACGAATACTTGTACAAATGCTATTAACACATAGATATTTAAAAAAAAAAGCTGATGTAAATATAAAGATTGGTATATAAGAAAGTATGAAAGGAAGGAAGGAAGAAAGTGTGAATATATATTACGAAAGAAAGAAAGAAAGAAAGAAAGAAAGAAAGAAAGAAAGAAAGAAAGAAAAAAAAGAAAAAAAAAGAAAATGATTCATATTTTAAAGAAAATGAAATTTTTTTTATAGAAAAAAAAAAGAAAGAAAGAAAAAATTAAAATAAAAAAAAGGTGAATATAAAGAAAGAATCTGACGAATTTTAATTAAATAAAGAAAGAAAAATTATTAAGAAAAAAAAAAAAAAAAAATTTAGAAAGAAAGAAAATAAATTTGAGTAGACGGAAAGAAAGAAAGAGTGATGAATAGAAACAAACAAAGAAAGAAAGAGAAAAGACTAGAAGAAAAGAAAGAAAGAATGACAGAAAGAAAGAGTGATGAATAGAAAGAAAGAAAGAAAGAAAGAAAGAATGACAGAAAGAAAGAGTGATGAATAGAAAGAAAGAAAGAAAGAATGACAGAAAGAAAGAGTGATGAATAGAAAGAAAGAAAGAAATGAAGAACGAGTGATGATTAAAAGAAAGAAAGAAAGAATGAATGACAGAAAGAAAGAGTGATGATAAGAAAGAAAGAAAGAAAGAAAGAAAGAATGAATGACAGAAAGAAAGAGTGATGATAAGAAAGAAAGAAAGAAAGAAAGAAAGAGTGATGAATAGAAAGAAAGAAAGAAAGAAAGAAAGAAAGAAAGAAAAATTGGTGAACAAAGAAAGAAAGACTGCTGAATAATAAGAAAGAAAGAAAAAAGAAAGAAAGTGTGAAGATATCTTAAGAAAGAAAGAAATAATGAAAGTGGGGAAACATTCAGAAAGAAAGAAAAAAGGTCAGCAAGACATGTTTTCATTATGTGCGATTTGAATATATCAACTTTTGATGGCGGTAATTGGCGCATAATCTCTCATGGAAGGTGAAGTAGTATCAGGTATTAAGGATCAAAAAGTGGTTTCTTCTGCAAAGACAGGATTTCGAATCGCGCTGAAGAGCCCCTTTTTTTTAATTAAAATTTATCGAGTGCACATGCCGATAAATATAATACACTCTGTGTGAAATGAAAATGGTACGTATATTTCATATTTAGTATTTTTGTTTTTATTTTAAAAAAAAACAGTGCTCCATAAAAAAAATAGAGCTTTAATTATAATTATTTTTTAAAAAATATGATTCCTTCGTTACATAAGAGTTCTCATGTTTCAAAAACAAGAGCCAAAAACCTCAATATAATTATTAAATTTAAATTTTCGCTTGAGGATGAAACAGGGTTTGATACTTTAATTCAGTTTAATTTTAATAATTATATTGAGGTTTTTATTTGTTTATGTGTACGGATATGTGTATATGTGTGTATGTGTATATTTATGGATACATAGAATATTATAAAAGAAGGACTTACAGTCCTGTTATTAGTGTTTTATCTCATTTTCTCATTTAATTTTTTTATAATATGGAGGAAATTTTTTTAAATTGATAATTTAATTTAAATTGAAATATATTACCCTTTAATAATCTATTGATGATAAAATATTTAAATTGGAAATTTTTTTTATATTTAGGTAGGTGTTAATACATGAAGTTACCTGTGTACATGGGTACCTGTATGAGTGATTGCACATGTAAAGGAACGTGTGTATATGTGATATTTGCATGGGTGTGTATACAGTATATGGCAGAGCAAGATCTTTAATATTACCTTCAAATATTACCCCATATTAACTAAAATTTAAGTAAAAGAGATTACCTATCTAGAAACAGTTACGAGTTAAATTCATGAACAAAATTCAAACGCATAGAGATGTCAACTTAATAATCAATAATAAAATTTTTTAAAGAGATTAAAAAAAGATTACTAGAAGTAAACTTATATTTCAAAATAAAATTTTATTCTTTTAATGTACTTTTTTATGAATATTTTTCTAATCGACTATTTCATAGAAAATCCCCAAAATTCAAAAAAAATTTAAATCAGTAACAAACATCAAATTAAATCATTTGTAGACAGTTTAGAGACAATCAAATTTATATCAAACTTTATAATATTTATGAACCCCCAAAATAACACTTTCAAAGTAAAACAAAATAACAGCTTCTGTTTCTAGCCTGTTTTTTTTTTTTTTTTTTTTTTTTTTTTTTTTTTTACAAAGAAAATTAGTGACACCTTATCTCATGACTTCCTTCTCTCTTTTTCTCTCTATGGGTTTTTTCTCCTCTACCCCTTCGATATCAATATATAACTTCCGTTAAGTTAACTGTTTAAATGTGTCGATGTCTCCTAACTCACTCATGTCTTCTCTCTCCCCCATCACTTCGTCATTTCGTTAATTTACATATGTTTAATACGGCCCGTCAAAAATGTGTAAATTTTCTTTTCATTTTTTGTTTGGAAGTAAAGTCTGATGATCCACAGTCCTTTAAAAAGGCTGTGGTGAAATAATTTATTACATGGAGCCTTAAAGTGGCCTGTTTATATATATATATATATAAGTATATAATTGGTGTATACGGGTTAAATTCGAATAACCAACAATTACTATTCTTAAAAGAGTACTTAATACAGAGTAGAGCAGATATAATTATTTATTTAAAATTTATAACATATTTATGTTATAATTTTTAAATAAATAATTAAATCACTATAAATATGTTATAAAATCACTACAAAAATGTCTTATCAAGTGATGATTCAACATTATCACTTTGATAAGTCACCGGAGGTGTTGAAACAAAATGGCTATTTCTGTAGGGATTTTATAACATATTTATGTTTTTAAATAAATAATTATATATTATATATATATATATATATATATATATATATATATGTGTGTGTGTGTGTGTGTGTGTGTGTGTGTGTGTGTGTGTGTGTATTTAGACATTAATTCTTCTTTCATGCACATTTCATTGAATACGAATAGACAAGGTGCTCTGATTTAGTTTTTTATACAATTTCTCATGCGATCTAATATTTTTTTCTTTTCAGATGATAAATTATATAATATATATGCAACACAAATATAATATCAACATGTACATGCAAAAAGGCTTAAACGAAGTCTTAATAATAAAAAAGAAAAACAACAATCAATAATATCAACTATGAACATGGCCACGATATCTTGACCGTGTTTCGAAAAATGTAAACATTATATAAATACATACATACAACAAACTATTTCTTATTTAGCAGTTAAAATATTTAATCTTTGAAAATGGTTAAATGTATAACATGTATTCGGACAGTTTTTATATAATTTATCACCTGAAAAGAAAAATTATCAGATCGCATGAGAAATTGTATAAAAAACTAAATCAAAACATCTTGTCTGTCTTTTTTCAATGAAATGTGCATATATATATATATATATATATATATATATATATATATATATATATATTTTATGTCTGGGTGTGTGTATGTGTTTCGTGCGTGTGTGTGTCTTTTTCATCAAAAGAAATGATGTCCTCAGATCTATTGAAGAAGTATCAGGCCCATTCATTGTCTCAAATGGAACAAGACAAAGTTGTGTTCTTGTACCTCTCTTATTTGCTTTGTATTTTTATAGCCTGGTCGAAATAGCATGTTAAAGAATGTTTGCGATTTGATTACTTGCATTATTTACATTATCCTCATCTTCATTGCCATATTCGCAACGTTTCGGCTGTTGTACGTTCTGGTCTTCTTCAAGTGACTGGAATTTTTCTACAATATCTGTCTATATCTCCGAGATGAGGTATTATCATTACTTACATTATTTACATTATTCGGACTGTTATCGTCATCTTTATTGCCATATTCACAACCTTTCAGCCGTTGTACGCTCCGGCCTTCTTTAGGTGTTTGGATCTCTGAGATGAGATATTATGATTACTTGCATTATTTACATTATTCGGTCTGTTATCCTCATCCTCATTCCCATATTCACAACGTTTCGGCCGCTGTACGCTCCGGCTTTTTGCTGATTGGAATTTCGAACCGAGCCCTTTATGTCGTTCCCCGGGGTAGATTATTCTAGTTCCACGTGCCATGTCCCTTCATGTTGTCGCAGTTATTTCCCTTTAATTCAACTCTCAAGTTTTTGTTTCACCGCAATTTTTAGATTCAGGAAGCAATTTATTTGTTTTGTCTGCTGTCTAATGACTATGTCGCCTATTCAGCATCTCGGGACCAGCTGACATGAGTTGTTTCCTTGGCGGTTAAACGTACTCTGGATGCGAGGATAGACCATGTCTATGTCGATGTGGAGGAGCGGTTGGTCCTGGCCGATAATGCCGTGAACTGTAGTTCGTTTCGGGTCGTTGCGGTTTATGCGCCCAATAACCAGGCGGATCGTGTGTAGTTTTTCCATCAGTTTGGGCCTTTCCTGGTTTATTCTTCGCTCTTAGTCTTAGTGGGTGACTGGAATGCCATCCTTGACCCCAAGATAGACAGGGGGTGGGGATCTAGCGGGAGGGCATCGTAGCCTGGCCGATCTGATCGGTGAGTTTGGTCTCGTTGATAGATACCGGGTCGATCACTCTGGGCGGGAAATGTGGACGTGGGCACTTAAGTGGCTGTCTACCCGGTTAGCCAGCTACCTGGATAGAATTTTAGTGAGAAGGGCAGATATAGACTTAGTAGATTGTTCCACGTTCCACTGGTTAGGCTATTCGGACCATAAACTCGTCTGTGCCCGCATAGCGTTAGATGCTATGTCTAGAATGGCTGGACACTGGAGGTTCAAACTGTCTTTACTGGATAGGCGGGCTATTGGGAACAGGTGGTGGGTGAGGCTAAGGATAGCATTAAGTCCTTCACCACCGAATATAGCCAGTGTCTCGCACTAGATAAGGTTAAAAAGATGAAGAGACTTGAAAATAGTCTGTCCCGGTGGAGACTGGGGGACTCTCTAGATATAGGTTTAGCTGAACATGCTCTGGAGCGCGCGGCTAGCGAGCGCTACAAGAATTAGGTAGTTAGGCATAGAAGTCTATGTGTGACGTGTTCCGGTGGCATTTCGAGAGCTAGTTTATCAAGGAGCCTGGTCTCTGTGATGAAGAGTTTCGCAGCTATTTGGCTGACTTTCCTGGGCTTTCGCCGACTGAAGCGGTTCGCTTTGAGAGTGAGATCACGGAGGGCGAGGTCTACTTGGAATTGAAGTGGGTCGGCATTGGAAAGTCACCGGGACTTAATGGTCTGCCTTATGAAATGTACTTGAGGCTGTCGCACATCTTTTTGCTATTTTGATAATGGTGTTCCATAACTAGTTCCGCCAAGGGTCCATCCCCAATCGGATCAACAGGGGTGTGATCACGCTGTTGACAAAAGTCAAGGATGGTGGGCGGGATTAAGATGATTACAGATTAACTCAGATAAAACGCAGATAAAGATTGTGGCCATGATACTGACGAAACTTTTGCAGTCAGTTGCCGAGATTCTGTTGGAGCCCGAGTAGACTTGTGCTGTGATGGGGCCGAATAATTCAGAGCAACGTGCATCTGATCCGCACGATCCTAGAATGTGTAAAAAACGACGAGCAAGCCACGTTGATCAATTTCGATCAGTCGCAAGCATTTGAAAGGATTGACCAACGGTACCAGACTGCTGTCCTGCAGGCCGCCGAATTCAAACTAAGACTTCTGCAAGTCGATTTGAATCCAGTATCGCACTCCAGGGCTGTGATACAGGTGAGCGGAAAGGGGTTGCACGCTTTTGCACTGTCTTGGTCGGTCCGTCAGGGTGCGCACTGTCGCCCCCTACGTTACGGTTTGGCGTTAGAGTCTCTCTTTCACTGGATAAGGGTCAGGATATGCAGTCCATCTCTATATGGAATCGCTGTCCCTAGTGGGGCTCACGCCAGAGTTTCCGCTTACGCCGATGATGTATCGATTTTCTTGTCGTGCCCCAGCAACATTGGGGTGTTACAGAACGCGTTTGAACGGTACGAAAAGTCACGGGGACCAAGATTAACCGTAACAATTCATACGGCATACGTTTAGGTGCTCAAGGCATACCGGAGCTTGATCTTCCGGAGCCTTTTGTTTGGACGACGGTCCTGTCCGCATTCTCGGAATGTGGTTTGGACCCGACCTCCAACTGGATAAAAATTGATCAGAAGTACCGGCAAAGGTTCGGTCCGGACTAGGTTGTCCTTGTAGGGTAGTGCTGAGGCGTGTGTCACGTAAGTCTTTCCTCTCATCCTTTACCGCTTGGTTGTACCTGCTTTTTGCAAGGACCATAGGAAGGTTGTTATAATTTTCGAATAAATAATTACATATATATATATATATATGTGTGTGTGTGTGTGTATATATATATATATATATATATAAATAGGTTTGAAACAGTACAAAAAGCGTATTAAGGCATTAAAACTAGAAATGTTGTATTGCAGGCCATGATAAGTTTAAAATAAAACACACACAGTCGACCGGTTTCGTCCCCTCGTCAGAACTGTTAACGGGGAATTTAGATTATGAGGAAAAAAGAAAAAAAAACAAAAAGAAAATCATGGGTGACATGAATGAATGGACAGGGAAGGAAGGAAAAAAAAAAAATTATACCAACCAAGCTGCTAGAAGCGCAGAACAGCAAGTCCAAGCAAACAATCTCTTTGTCCGGTCTATCTTCGTTTACCGTGGTTGGGTAGTATTAGTGAATCCTTCGCCAAGCGTATTTCATGCAGTTCACGTGAGTGTTATTTTGCAGCGAACGTTCGTGTTGTCTTTCAAACTAGGTCTGTACTTCCATCTATGTGTAAAGATGTTCTATCCCCTCACCATATTAACTCTGTTATTTACTATTTCAAATGTAGTTGTGGATGCGACTACATAGGTAGAACGACACAGCGGTTGGACGTGAGAATTAAACACGTACCTGCGATAATACTAAACAAAAAAATTTCTTTGGGCGATACCATTCGTAACACGTATGGGTCTTAGATTGCGGATCATTTTATAAAGAATCCAACTTGTGCGATGGATTTCAGTGTTAACTGGTTTTCCGTCTTGGCCAGTTCGCACTCACTTTTCCATCTTAAGGTGTTGGAGTCGCTTTACATCAGGTCCAGGCAGCCTTCTCTTTGCAAACAAAGAGATTGTTTGCTTGGACTTGCTGTTCTGCGCTTCTAGCAGCTTGGTTAGTATAATTTTTTTTTTCCTTCCTTCCCTGTCCATTCATTCATGTCACCCATGACAGACTTTTTTCTTTTCCTCATAATCTAAATACCCCGTTAACAGTTCTGACGAGAGGGGACGAAACCGGTCGACTGGTGTGTGTTTTATTTTAAACTTATCATGGCCTGCAATACAACATTTCTAGTTTTTAATGCCTTAATATATATATATATATATATATATATATATATATATATATATATAATTTAATTAAAATTAGAAGACACACAACATTAAGGGTTCATTGATTATATTTTATTTCCCCAGGAGAGCGGTTTTCCTGGTTCTTTAGATCACATTTCTAAGCATAAATAATGGTTTTAAATTTACGTATTATTTTTATACTTTCTTGAGGGGTAGTTTTAAGTTGTTGTAAGGTCATAGAAAGAAGTGGAGCGGGGACAACAACGGATATGGTCGAAATTAGAGAAGGAAGGGAAAGATAGGAATATTTTTAAATCTATTTTTATCAAAATACTTCAGAATAAAAGAGGTGGGTAAGGACAGTGACCTATTTAATAAGTTATCTCACTGAAAAAAGAAGAAAAGATATAAGAAAGCAAATGTGAAAGCAGGGTTGGGAGGAAAAGTGGGGAAAGAAGAAAAGGAAGAATAAATTAACATATATAGGTAAATTGCAGTTAATTTCAAAGAAACACAGATTGATATATTTTGCAGTTAACGTTTGACATTCTAGCTTGTTTTATTAAACGGAATAACCATTTTTATGGCTCTGGATTGTGTTGATATTCTATTAAAGGCCGAATTGCGTTTCACAAAAATGGTTGTTATTTATGCATAAAGCAAACGAAATTCATGCTGTGTAGTTCAAACTTCCGTTTCTCTTGAGTCAACATTAGAGGTGTGAGTGAGAAAAGAAAAGAAAATTAATTGAATTTTTAAGCAAAAAATTGTTTTAAAAATATCGCTTTTTTTTTCAATCTTTATTTTTTTTATTTTGTTGAAAGCTAAATCCAATAAGACTGAATGCAGGAATCGGTTTGAGTGCAACAGTTAAGAGCAGCGTGTGATAACGTGTAAAACATTCGCATCTGTTTTTATATACATGCAAGAATAATATAAATGAAAAGAGTACTGAACTCTTACGCGACAAAAGTCCTCCTCTATGGCAGTGAATGCTGGATAATCTCTTCAAAGATGAAGAAGAGGCTTTAAGCAACAGAATCTAAGACATGATTACTGAAATGTTATGTACTATCAGTCTTCCTACATGGCAGGGAATACTGGATAATCTCCACAGATATTTAGAAGAGGCTTGAAGCAATAGAAACAAAAATAGAGTATTGAATTGTTATGTAATATAAGTCTTCCTATATGGCAGTAAATCCTAGAAAATCTCCATGCAGATGAAGAAGAGGCCTGAAGCGGCAGAAACAAAAAAGAGTATTGAATTGTTATGTAATATAAGTCTTCCTATATGAGAGTAAATCCTAGAAAATCTCCACGCAGATGAAGAAGAGGCCTGAAGCGGCAGAAACAAAAAAGAGTATTGAATTGTTATGTAATATAAGTCTTCCTATATGGCAGTAAATCCTAGAAAATTTCCACGCAGATGAAGAAGAGGCCTGAAGCAGCAGAAACAAAAAAAAGAGTATTGAATTGTTATGTAATATAAGTCTTCCTATATGACAGTAAATCCTAGAAAATCTCCACGCAGATGAAGAAGAGGCCTGAAGCGGCAGAAACAAAAAAAAAGTATTGAATTGTTATGTAATATAAGTCTTCCTATATGACAGTAAATCCTAGAAAATCTCCACGCAGATGAAGAAGAGGCCTGAAGCGGCAGAAACAAAAAAAGAGTATTGAATTGTTATGTAATATAAGTCTTCCTATATGACAGTAAATCCTAGAAAATCTCCACGCAGATGAAGAAGAGGCCTGAAGCAGCAGAAACAAAAAAAAAAAGTATTGAATTGTTATGTAATATAAGTCTTCCTATATGACAGTAAATCCTAGAAAATCTCCACGCAGATGAAGAAGAGGCCTGAAGCGGCAGAAACAAAAAAGAGTATTGAATTGTTATGTAATATAAGTCTTCCTATATGACAGTAAATCCTAGAAAATCTCCACGCAGATGAAGAAGAGGCCTGAAGCGGCAGAAACCAAAAAGAGTATTGAATTGTTATGTAATATAAGTCTTCCTATATGGCAGTAAATCCTAGAAAATCTCCATTTTGGATGAAGAAGAGGCCTTGAAGCGGCAGAAACAAAAAAGAGTATTGAATTGTTATGTAATATAAGTCTTCCTATATGACAGTAAATCCTAGAAAATTCCACGCAGATGAAGAAGAGGCCTGAAGCGGCAGAAACAAAAAGAGTATTGAATTGTTATGTAATATAAGTCTTCCTATATGACAGTAAATCCTAGAAAATCTCCACGCAGATGAAGAAGAGGCCTGAAGCGGCAGAAACAAAAAGAGTATTGAATTGTTATGTAATATAAGTCTTCCTATATGACAGTAAATCCTAGAAAATCTCCACGCAGATGAAGAAGAGGCCTGAAGCGGCAGAAACAAAAAGAGTATTGAATTGTTATGTAATATAAGTCTTCCTATATGACAGTAAATCCTAGAAAATCTCCACGCAGATGAAGAAGAGGCCTGAAGCAGCAGAAACAAAAAATAGTATTGAATTGTTATGTAATATAAGTCTTCCTATATGACAGTAAATCCTAGAAAATCTCCACGCAGATGAAGAAGAGGCCTGAAGCGGCAGAAACAAAAAAATATTGAATTGTTATGTAATATAAGTCTTCCTATATGACAGTAAATCCTAGAAAATCTCCACGCAGATGAAGAAGAGGCCTGAAGCGGCAGAAACAAAAAAGAGTATTGAATTGTTATGTAATATAAGTCTTCCTATATGACAGTAAATCCTAGAAAATCTCCACGCAGATGAAGAAGAGGCCTGAAGCGGCAGAAACAAAAAAGAGTATTGAATTGTTATGTAATATAAGTCTTCCTATATGGCAGTAAATCCTAGAAAATCTCCACGCAGATGAAGAAGAGGCCTGAAGCGGCAGAAACAAAAAAGAGTATTGAATTGTTATGTAATATAAGTCTTCCTATATGGCAGTAAATCCTAGAAAATCTCCACGCAGATGAAGAAGAGGCCTGAAGCGGCAGAAACAAAAAAGAGTATTGAATTGTTATGTAATATAAGTCTTCCTATATGGCAGTAAATCCTAGAAAATCTCCACGCAGATGAAGAAGAGGCCTGAAGCGGCAGAAACAAAAAAAGAGTATTGAATTGTTATGTAATATAAGTCTTCCTATATGGCAGTAAATCCTAGAAAATCTCCACGCAGATGAAGAAGAGGCCTGAAGCGGCAGAAACAAAAAAAGTATTGAATTGTTATATAATATAAGTCTTCCTATATGGCAGTAAATCCTAGAAAATCTCCACGCAGATGAAGAAGAGGTCTGAAGCGGCAGAAACAAAAAAAGAGTATTGAATTGTTATGTAATATAAGTCTTCCTTTATGGCAGTAAATCCTAGAAAATCTCCACGCAGATGAAGAAAGGCCTGAAATCGGCAGAAACAAAAAAGAGTATTGAATTGTTATGTAATATAAGTCTTCCTTTATGGCAGTAAATCCTAGAAAAATCTCCACGCAGATGAAGAAAGGCCTGTGTTTGAAAAAAAAGTATTTAATTGTTATGTAATATAAGTCTTCCTATATGGCAGTAAATCCTAGAAAATCTCCACGCAGATGAAGAAGAGGCCTGAAGCGGCAGAAACAAAAAAGAGTATTGAATTGTTATGCAATATAAGTCCTCGTACATGGCAATGACTGCTGGACAGACTCCTCAAAGATAAAAAAAGAGGCTTGCAGCAATATACATATGGTTATACCAAAGAATGCTGAAGATGTCATGGACCAAATATGTGATCAATGACGAAATTTTTGAGAAAAAGGAAACAGAAAGAAAACTGATAATTAAATTAAAGAGAGACAGTTAAGGTTTCTGAAGCACATGTCTTAATTTCTATCTATCTATCTATCTATCTATCTTGGTAATCATTTTGTTCATATCTATCTATCTATCTATCTATCTTGGTAATCATTTTGTTCATATCTATCTATCTATCTATCTATCTATCATTTTATTTATATCTATCTATCTATCTATGTTATTTTGTTCATATCTATCTATCTATTTATCTCTCTATCTATTTATCTTTCTTTGTAATGTACAATCATTATAACTGATTATTATAAGATATTAAAATACATTTTCAGTAATCAAAGCAATCATTCTTATCGAACGTCCCGATTAGTGATTGAGATATCGATCGCTATTATATATAATTCCTTAATTATTACCCCTGTCAAATATTGAGCACATGTCTGGCAGAAATTCTGTGAATTGATAAACGATAAATTATATGATTTTATCTATATTCATTGCTAGTATTGACAGCAAGTATTATTAAATAGCAATTTGCACACGCACACACACACATCTATCTCTCCTATCTCTCTCTCTCTCTCTCTCTCTCTCTCTATATATATATATATATATATATATATATATATATATATATATATATATATATATTATATATTGTTATCCACAGACAGACTGTTTCAATGTATCACAGCTCATCAGTGTGGCTAGATGTCAGTTTTGCCTTTGGTTAGGAGTCAAATCCGACTGTTAGGTCCCAGCTATGGGCAAATAATTAACTCCTAAACTGGGGTCAAAACATTGTGAAAGTGTAAAAATAGATTTTAATAATGGAAATAATTTCTAAAAAAATTATTACCAGAAATATCTAAAAAAAAAATATTGCCAGAAATAGATTTTTGAAGAAAAAATATTACTAGAAAAAGATTTTTTAAGAAAGAATATTACCAGAAATAGATTTTTGAACAAAAAATATTACCAGAAATTTGATTTTTGAAAAAAATATTACCAACAATAGAAAGTTTGTCGGCATTAAATAACCCATTGAGGTTGATATGCAGTAAAACAGACCAAACCAAACAAACAAAATATAAAATTTTATTCATATATATATATATATATATATATATATATATATATATGAAGAAATATAGTCTTAAGGTGTGATATATTTATGGGATAAAGTGCTCAATATGAGTGATACAGCGTGTGTAAATATAAAAGTGAACATTGAAGTCAACACTTTGAGGCGACAGTCTAACAAACCGATCTCGATAAATTAACCATTAAACAAATAAACATAATGAATCTAAATAAATACATGAATTAATAAACAAATTAAAAACTGCTCCTGCCAAAATAATAGTTAGAATAAACTACAACAATCAACCCCAAAATTGAATAATTAGCTTTAATTTCTTTCCAAACCAAAACAAAACTATTAAACAAACGATATAAACAAATGTTTACTACGTTAATAAAAACACCGCTTAAAATAAAATAAATAAATAAATAAGATATGAAATAAAAATAAAAATAAATAATGACAAGAAAAATAATTTAACCCAAATAAATAAATGAGCATATAAACGACTTCCGGTAAAATAACCACCAAAACAGACTACCCACAATGCACCACTGACCGGTATATATAAATAGCCGAGAAAAATAACAGCACTCGTGGCCTGACGATTGCGTCTAGTTTGAAACAGACTGTCGCTTCTATTTCTATTTATTGCATTATGAAAATATTCTTTGATCCAAATACTTACAACAGCAACCGCATACTTTCTTCTATTCTGTAACGTGAACAGTCACACGTACGCACACACAAGATATACGCACGAAACACACACAACGACTTCAGTTTAATCTATGCACACTCCTTCGTTCCCGCCATACAATTCTGCACGTTCGTCTGGCCACCTCTGCAATCAAGCAAACATAAAAGACCCTACTGCCTTGATTCATTTGTTCCACTTTTTTTTTGTTTCTTTTTTTTTATTTTGTCTATCATCTGACTCCATTTTGTCCAGAGATGTTTGCACAAGAGCAACAAGGCGTTTATTCTAGCTTTCTGGCCACCGAACTTGGCGAAAAGTTGCCTCCTAATATCTCAACGCTGAGAAACAAAGCGGAAAGATAGCAAATTTTCTCAAATACGTCGTGTGCTTTTATTCTTCACTTGAGAGAAACGAGGAGGCTAGTTTTATGAATTCAAATAAAAGCGAATCATCTGCTTATAGCCGCCATTTTTATTTTTCTTGCTACCCTCAATCTACCCGAATTGTTACTCTTACATGTTGTCTTTCTTTTCTCCTTCGTTTTCACTTTTTTCTTCATAGGTAAATTTCTCCCTTTCAAGATATTATTATTGTTATTATTATTATTATTATTATTATTATTGTTGTTGTTGTTATTGTTTTTATTATTGTTATTAATATTATTGTTATTATTATTGTAAATTAATAGTATTATTATTTTTATTTCCTTTGATTTCTGACGTTTACACATTTCTTTCAGGGACCTAAGGTTAGAAATGGCATCACGACACTTTCCACTGACATAAAAAAATTATATAGATAAAGCTCTTCGTAAAGTGTGGGCTGTACTTGACAGAACAATTTTTTTTATCTCTTTGAGGCATGGGCTTCCAAGATTCCTTTCAATTAGTCTTCTGGAATCTTTTCCAACCAATCCTAGGGCTCCAAAGACAGGGATTGTTAATGCTCCATGTGCCACAGTTTTGTGATTTCGTTTTCAAGGTCCTTGTATTTTGACAGCATTTTTGAATATCTTCAAAGATACATTGCAGTCTGCAGGGACTGTCATATCAATAAGGAGACACTTTTTATTATTATTATTAGTTTTATTATTATTATTATTATTATTATTGTTGATATTGTTATTATTATTGTTATTGTCATTATTATTATCATTTTCATTTTTATTATCATCCATTAGTTTACTCTTTTTTCTTTCCCATAATTTGTTTTTCATTAATTTGTTTTGTGAATATTTAGTAAATATCGATTCGTATGACACAAGATACGAGAGTGGGGCACGTTGTGGATTCTCCATACGAAACTAGCGAATTTTCTCATTAGACTTTCTCAATAAAGATAATTCCACCTAGATAGGTATTGAACTCAAACTCTTTGGGTCCTGGCACTGGATCTAATTAACGTCTTTATCCCCTGTGCCACGTGTCCTCAAGGACACAGAGCACAGTGGTTAAGGCGGTGGAGAACTTGGAGAGGGAATTAAGCAGGAGATAAATGACATTCATTAGACATGGTACGGGGAACTAGAATGGTGAGCGAAATAAAGGGTTCAGTTCGACATTGCAGACAACTGAAGAAGGCCGGAGCGTACAACGGCCGAAATGTTGTAATAAATATGGTGACAAAGATGAGGACAATAATTCGAATAATGTAAATAGTGTACATAATACCCCATCTCAGAAATATAGACAGATACTGAAAGGCGGAAACGTTGTAATAAATATGACGACAAAGACGAGGACAATAGTCCGAATAATGTAAATAGTGTATATAATAACTCATGTCAGAAATGTAGACAGAATCTGAAAGGCTGAAACGTTGTAATAAATATAGCAACAAAGATGAGGACAATAGTCCGAATAATGTAAATAGTGTACATAATACCTCATCTCAGAAATATAGACAGATATTGAGGGTACTATTATTTTGGTACCTTGTATTTGAGCTAAATATTATGTATAGAACGGAGAGAGGACAGTTTAATATTCTTGCGAGAAATGTGGCATAACCAGTAAATGTATATAAGAGAACGCACGTTTTTGTCCAGTAAATCTTAATGTTGGTGATAAAGGCCTTTCTACCATGCTTCTGGGCATTTTTAAGATCCGTTTTTATCGAGACATGTCGACTTTCCCCGTGTTCAAATGGACGTCTATCTGTTATAAACTGCTGACGAATAACACTCACTTTTGCTTGTCTGTATGAGTTAGTGTCTTTCTCAGTTCTTTTGTTATGTAATTTCTCTATGGCCGTCATTATCAATACCTCGCTTCTCTTTCTTTATGGCCGTCATTATTAATAGCTCTCTCTCTCTCTCTTTCTTTATGGCCGTCATCATTAATACCTATCACCTTTTTCTCTATGGCCGTCATAATTTATACCTCTCTCTCTTTCTCTATGGCCGTTATTATCAATACCTCTCTCTCTCTCTCTCTCTGGCCATCATTATCAATACCTCTCTCTCTTTCTCTATGGCCGTCATTATTAATACCTCTCTCTCTTTCTCTATGGCCGTCATTATTAATACCTCTCTCTTTCTCTATGACCGTCATTATTAATACCTCTCTGTTTCTCTATGGCCGTCATTATTAATACATCTCTCTCTTTCTCTATGGCCGTGATTATCAATACCTCTCTCTCTTTCTCTATGGCCGTCATTATTAATACCTCTCTTTCTCCCCTTCCATCTTCCCTTCTCCTTTTTTCTGCTTGTGCTACCTTCCACTTCTTTTTATGTTTACTTCTCCCTTTTACTTTCCACTTTTCTCTTTTCTCAAATTCCTCTCTCTCTCTCTCTGTCTCTCTCTGTCTCTCTCTCTGTCTCTCTCTCTGTCTCTCTGTCTCTCATTCTTTCTTTTCTTGTCTAGTTTGTTCTTTCCCGGCAAGCGTTTTCTTCTCATCGTTTTCTTTTCCTTTTCTTCTTTTTTGTATAAACGTTTTTTGTTTCCTTCCTAGTTTTTTTTTTTTTTTTTTTTTTTTTTTGTGGGGGGAATCCTTTCTTGTTTTGATTTTCCCTAACCGTAATTTTTTTTTCGATACCACTGTGAACCCCTCGGGCCATGTTCTTCATATTAGACTTCCACCATTTTTATAATGCGTTTCATTCTGACGAAAATTTGGAATTGGCGTGCGCCGATCAAAGACGTTTCCCAGGAGAAGGATTAAATATCGTTTGCTGAATTAACGCAATCTCAAAATTCCATTAATTGGAATAAAGTAGTAGCAAATAAATACATCTGTTTCCCAAATTCAAGTGTTTTCCCCTTAGGATAAACACTTACGCCACAGGCTCTGTTTTATAAGTCTTTTTTCTATTTTTCAGTAGATTAGTTTAAAATTTGTTTTTCTTAAATCCTTCCGGGGTGGAGTATGTTAGAGCATTATAGCCGGATTAGTCTAATGTCGTTAAGACAAATCAGTTTATGAGCGTGTCCTCTGTTGTGTTGACGATTAGAAACATTATTTTCCTTTTTTATGTGCCGTGTCCCTTCAGGACGTAGGCGATCATCTGCCTTCACCTCCCCCTATCCCTTGTTACTCTCAATAAGTTTTGTCCCTCTGCCACCTCCTCCCTCCCAGTCCACGTTCTGTCATCCACTTGCATAAGCCCACTAGGTATGTCATGAGTTGCTTTCCCTTGCCTTTCTCTCCCTCTATTCTACCTGTGAGTATCAGATTCTCCAAGCCCTCTTTTCTCATTACGTGTCCCAGGAATTTCGGCTGCCTCTTGTTGATGTTAAGTATAAGCTTCCTCCTTGTTTGCATCCTCTTCAAAAACGCATCGTTGCTCACACGCTCAGTCAATGATATTCTCATCATCCTTCTGTAGAACCATATCTCCGTTACCTCGAGTCTCTTCTTCATCTTTGAGGAGACCGCCCAACATTTGCTGCCGTAAAGGAGGACAGATGTCATGTAGCAGTTCAGTACTCTTTTCTTTGTTACCAAAGAAATCCTCCTGTCTTTTAATACACTTCTTATCCTTTGGGACGCGTCTTCCCCCCCCCCCAATACATCTTCGGATCTCAGCGTCTACAAATTCTATTTCCTGTTTCTAATATTTTCCTTCAGAACGTAGACGATCATGTCTCTCCATGATTTCCTTTTCTTTATTATCTGTGAAGAGAACGGGTAAGGGATGTTTGTTAAGCCTTCTCAAGTCTTTACTCTGGTTTAAAATAAATCTTTTTATCTCGATTTGAAACATATAAAAGAATATCTTGTGTGTTTAAATATATCATACTTTCTAACAGCGTTTGCTATTTTCTAGGAAAATGCTTAAAGTTAACTGAACAGAGAGTGGGACGTTTATAATAATAATGATGTGGTTCCCATGCTATGATAGCGGACTAACTCATATTGTTCCATAATTATAATGGCTTAATTCTTGGTGGAATATTCTCCGATTGCCTTCGGTAAGGAATTCAGGGTTTTACTTCATTTAATATGGTTTTCACCCGGGGCAAAAGCGCCCTGTCTACTCAGCTATTTAACCCATAAAGTACAAGAGAAGATATAGATTCTTGCCTTTCCCAAGGGCATTAGTGCGAAAAGGAATGCAACAATTAGCCTGGAATTTGAACTTCGCTGGTTCCAAATTCCGCACTGATTTTAACATCAATATTTTAAAAAAAGTTGAATACTGTTATTATTTTTTTACGAAATTTAGTCTGTTATTATTTTTGCTTTTTTATTTTAAAAAGAAAAAAAATCTCTCGTTTGAAACGGTAGAGGAACTAAGATGTCACAGATAACTGAAAAGAAATGGCTACGGATTTCTTGAGCGATATTCTTTTACCGAAAATGTGAAATAAACATCCATAAAAGACAGGCTTCTGAGGTGAAGGTATGCTAGTTTAAGTTTCGTCTTAAAAGTCTTCCAATTGTTCTTGCTGTTTGATCTAGCGATCAAAGACTTCATCGATCCAAAAGAAAAATATTAAAAGTAACGTCTTCTGTAGACCTCGTCCCTTCAGGACCTGGATGATCATGTTCCTCGAAACTTCCCTCTCTGTTCTATCGTCCATTTCCTCATGATGTCACCCAGTGTTTCTCTCTGTCTCTCTTGCTTCAATATTCCATTTGAGTGTCATATTTTCCAAGCTTTCTTTCCTCATTATTTCTTCCAAAAATGTCTCTTACTGATTCTAATGGAAATGTCCTTTTTGTTTCATTTTTCCTTAAAACACACCCGTTTCTAAAATAATCAGTGCATAGCATTCGCAGCATCCTTCTGTAGAACCACATTTCTGTTATGTCTAATTTCCTTTTCGTCTGGCTTCCGGTCACGTCACGTTGAAATATCGGTTCCCGTTTTGTCACCGAAGTTAAGCACCGTCGAGCTTGGTCAGTACCTGGATGGGGGACCGTTTGGGAATTCCAGGTGCTGTAAGCTTGGATGTGCGGGTGGTGTAATGGATTAACATTGTTAATCGGAGAGCCGAGTTCCAATTCTCGTTGTGTACTTTATATTCCCTGACGCGCAAAAATTTGGAAAGGTATGAAACCACCTCTTCTCCCCCCATCTATGGGCTAATGAGTAAGACTTATATCCCTAATCGATTATTATCTTAAAAACGTTTCTCACCATCTAAAAAATATTTTCTTGTTTTAATTGCCTGTATTGGTTATTAAATGATAGCAGTTTTGTTGGGTGGGGGCTTCTGCTAATATACAAATCGAAGATGTGTTACAAGTTACTGTATATCAAAACGTCTTCGTCTCAAATGAGAAACAAAGATTAGTTTGTCAAGATATTAAGTTTTTCTTTGGAAGTAGAAGGTTATCGGATGCTCCAAATTGAGAGTGAATCAGAAACGTACATTATGAAACGTTCAAAGTAGCTACTGAAGCAAATTTAGTGACCGTCATAGCTAAAAGACGTCCTTGTTCTTTTACTTTTCCATTTTTTGCCGGTCATGGCTGAAATCTATATGCGTTCCGAAGGAAACAAGTCTCGAGGAAAGCTTCTCAGTATCAGTAAAATCGCAGAGAAGACAAACCGTTATGTTCGAACTCACACTATTTACTGCTTCAATTTTCAAGAATTCCCAAATAAGAAAGACAAAGTTGTGCTGAAACATCATCGGACCACTGAACCTCAGCCACCAAATGATACAGTGTTCGTTTTAGATCGACTTACTCTCCTTCACAGTGAAGTGGTTGTCTAGGATGACATACAGCGATGTGAAGGCCAAGCACGGGCCACCAAGCATCATTTTGATGGTTAAGCAGGCCCGCCCATAAAGGACCATGGACATCAGAGGAGAGCAGCTTGGACTTCTACTAACATACAAATCGAAGATGGATTGCAATTTACTGTTCATCAAGAGCTCTTCCTCTCAAACGAGAAGAACAAAAATCAGTTTATCAAGATGTTAACTCGTTCCTTGGAAGCAAATGGTCATGGCGTGCTCCAAATTGAGAGAGACGCAGACACGAACATTGTTTCTAAAACGCTCATACTAGCTACTGGATGAAATTTAGTGACAGTAGCAGCTGTTGACACAGACGTCCTTGTTGTTTTACTTTTCAACTGTTCGCCAGACATGGCTGACATCTATATGCGTTCCGAAGGGAAAAAGTCACGGGGAAAGATGAAAAAGCCGCTCAGCATCCGTGAAATCACAGAGAAGGGAAATTTTGCGAAACCTCCCAGTCATCTACGCATGGGGTGGATGTGACTCAACCCCAGTTGCATTTTGGCAGCGGAATAAGCAGGCCTATTCATAATTCCAAGGAATTGTAGTCTTGTTGCGCAACTTAGGCAGGAGATGCAACTGAATATCCTAAGTAACGTCTGCTTATTTAGAGACTTTTGTGAAGATGTAAGAGGAAAACCAGGCAATACATTGGACTCCCGCAGTTACATCAAGTAAATGTAGTATGCTGCAACATCGACGAAAAATTTACAGCTTGAAAGACTGCCTCTAACTGCTGTCCTGGGTGTCGCGATAAACTACATCCGCATCCTGGGTAAGACGATAAACTACATCTAAAAGGCCTCTGATTAGGCGCTTTTGATGAGCGTGGAACCACCTCTAAAATACTAGTGTTCCCAGGTCCACCCTGACTCGGCGTGGTAGCACCTGCTAGGGTCCCAGCTATGGGCAAATAGTTAACTCCGAAATTGATGTAAACAATATTATGAAAGTGTAAAAGTAGGTTTTAATACCAGAAATACTTTGTAAAAAATTATTACCAGAAATATATTTTTGAAAAAAAAAAAAAACTATTATTATTATTTGAAAAAAAATTACCAGCAATACATTTTTGAAAATAATATTACCAGCTATACTTTTTGAGGAAAAAATGTTACGAGAAAGAAATTTTGGACAAAACAAAATATTACCAGGAAAAAATTGTCAGTATTAACCCATTTTACATTAACCAAACCAAATTGGCCGCCAACTGAAGGGGTCATTTTTGTTCCACCGTCTCAGTGTTCATCTTCAAGCAATGATCTGGAAGACTAGGTCATTGCCAACTTGATACTTGCAGCTGAGGTTGGGAAATGAGAAACGGTACCTTAGCCCCAGTTCTTATCGATTTAGATTTTCCTCCTGAGGAAGTACTTAACTTTGTACGTTATAAGCGCAAAATTTCGTCCAAGTGTCATTGCAGCACAAGCATCTGCTCTTGCCGGAAACATAGTCTCACGTACGTAACAACATACAGTGATTGTAACGGCACTGATTGCAAGACAATTAGTCTATAAGAATGGAAAGACGATACTTATTTGACGTTTAATTTATTTTATATATATATATATATATATATATATATATATATATATATATACATTGGCCCTTTTTCTATTTTTGGTGGTGGATTTGGGAGAATTCTAATACTAGTTTGTGTTATCTTATAACCTTTTTGATGGAGTGATATTTTCTAGGTCTAGTATTTTTTGCGATAGTGTTTGAATTAAAAATTTCAAATTCTATAATTTTCTGTTTTTTGTTGTGGTAGACATCAAAAAGATGTGAAAAGATATACACGCATTTTTAATAAGCACAACATTGTCATGGTGAGCCATCAGATTGCTTAGCAAAACAGACCTTTTAGGCCTCAAGTTACTTAGTCGCTTACTTGATGCAACGGGCTATTTCTATGCATTTCTTTTCTTCATTCTCTAATCATACCTTTCTTGTAGCACAAAAGACTGTCCAGTCTCCTTCAAATGGGTCCTATGTTTTACTATGCATACTGCCAAAAAAGGAAAATATCAAAGTTAAAACTCTGCTGCCAATTTGTCTGTATGAACAACGGGGGCAAAATTTCATATTCTCCACATCAGTGGATCGTGAGATCTAAAACTTCCTTATTTGTTGTCTGGTCTGAAAAATATACAGATATCACGTGACAATCTTGAAAGCTTCACAGAGTGAAAACAAGGTCTAAGAGCAAAATATGGTTTGATCGAAAACATTCTAAAATATTTATCGGACTGTCACCTCTCTATCTCTCTCAATCTCTCAGCCGGCAGCGTCCTGGATAAGACTCTGATCGGGAGGTTTTGAGGAGCGTGGAACCACCTATTAATTTCTGGTGTTCCCAGGTCCACTTTGACCCGGAGTGGTATCACCTGTTAAGGTCGCAGCTATCGTTAAATAGTTAACCCCAAAACTGGGGTCAAAACATTATAAAAGTGTAAAAAAAAAAAAAAGGTTTTACTACAGCAATATATTTTTGTAAAAAATTATTACCAACAATGAATTTTTGAAGAAAAAAATATTACGAGAAATAAATTTTTGAAAAATAATATTACCATCGATAAAAATCTTGGGTATCTGTCTATATTTCTGAGATGAGGTATTATTTAAATTATTTATATTATTCGGACTATTGTCCTCATCTTTGTGGCCATATTTATTACAACGTTTCTGCCTTTAAGTATCTGTCTATATTTCTGAGATGAGGTATTATGTACACTATTTACATTATTCGGACTATTGTCCTCGTCTTTGTCGTCATATTTATTACAACGTTTCCGCCTTTCAGTATCTGTCTATATTTCTGAGATGGGGTATTATGTACACTATTTACATTATTCGGACTATTGTCCTCATCTTTGTGGCCATATTTATTACAACGTTTCTGCCTTTAAGTATCTGTCTATATTTCTGAGATGAGGTATTATGTACACTATTTACATTATTCGGACTATTGTCCTCATCTTTGTGGCCATATTTATTACAACGTTTCTGCCTTTAAGTATCTGTCTATATTTCTGAGATGAGGTATTATGTACACTATTTACATTATTCGGTCTATTGTCCTCATCTTTGTCGCCATATTTATTACAACGTTTCAGCCTTTCAGTATTTGTCTATACTTCTGAGATGAGGTATTATGTGCATTATTTACATTATTCGGACTATTATTCTCACCCTTAAGGACATATGGCACAGTGGATAAAAGCGTTGGTGAGATCCAGTGACAGGGCCCAAAGAGTTGTGAGTTCAATACCTGGTTAAGGCAGTGAAGAACTTGGACAGGGAATTAGCAGAAGATAACTGATGATCGACATACATTAGATATGGCACAGGCACCTCGAGGCGGTGTAATGGTTAGCAAGCTTGTCTCGCTAGCACAATTACGAATGAGTAGTGAGTTCGATCCTCACTGGGTGCCCCATACTTTCGGCCTTGTGCCACATCTAAGCTACGCTTGGAAAACCACTACATTAGATATGGCACGTGGAACTAGAAAATTTTGGATATATGTAGATTGCGTGTATTGATGTTTTTATGGAAGTGGGAGGGAAAATTGTCTTCGTGACGCCACTCATACTTACGTAAACATACATACACGCCCGTACACCCATTGAGGTACGCAGACACACATACACACGCGCTCGCCCACCGAAGCTCACACAAACATAATCATATCTGCATAAATCCAAATTTTTAAAAAGATTAATCAGTTTGTCTGACGATCGCAAAAGCGTGAAATCCAGGGTCAAAAACTCACATCAATCCAACCAAATATATATATATATATATATATATATATATATATATATGTGTGTGTGTGTGTGTGTTTTGTGTATATTTAGGCAGCAATTTTTCATTAATGCACGTTTCATTAAATGATATAGACAAGTTTTGTGTATTTATTTTAAGTAAGTTCCTTTCATATTGTCTGATAAGCTTAATAACATTATCATTGAAAGACGAAAGGAAATCACCATATTGATACATGTTTAAATCCAGTCTAGGCTTTCGGCTTACATAAGCCATTATCAAATGGCAATTACTTTTCAGTATATCAACCAATACACGGACGAAAAAATATTGATAGTCTGTTTTTGTTGCATGAAAAATTTCAAAGCAACGACTAACTCGTGTATACGAGACGTGGAAGCAGAAATCGCCTCGCAGCTCGTTAC